CCCCCCCAGTGAAAGGGGCAGGTGGCCCCAGCCCCCTCGCCTCACCTCCGCGATGTCATTTTCCCCCGCGGCGCCTGCAGCTGCCAGTCCCCCGAGTCTCGGCCTCTCACGGGGGGGGGGGCTCCCCCCGGCGGGACGCGGCCTGGGGGACCCGGAGGGGAGCGTGAAAAGCAGCCGCAGCCAGGCCGCGGAGACACAGAACCCCGGCGCAGCCTGCCACGACGTCATCCGTCCGCGACCGGCCCAGCCTCCGTGGTCGGGGGCGGGGCCTGCCGGAGAGGCGCGCGCTCGGCTGCCTGGAGCGCTGCGGGCTGCACAGGGCGGGCATGCATTGAGCGCTGCTGGCACGAAGGATCTGCATGGAATGATGGCTGGATATTTTAAGAGGCGCTCTGCGTGCACCCATAGGTGCATCTTCTGAGCACTCTCTGCGTGCACAGGATCAGCTTTTAAATGTCTCGTGGTAACACATGGTACTTAAAGTAGCACCTTTCATCTAAATCTTTTACAAACATGATCTGAGGCGATACTGTTAACTTGTTTTTAATGACTATTTTAAAAAAATGAGTTTGCTGATCAAGATCCTTTTTTAAACCGTGCTATTTTAAACAAAAAAAAATCCTCTTCCAAAAATATAAGGCATCTTACTCCCACGCTGGAGTCATCCTACTGCTTGAGAGGGGAAGCGCAACTAATCATCAACAAGGTACTTTATATTCAAAATGCTCTCAAAAGTTCAAAGAAACAAACTTAAAAAGAAAAAAAATTCTCTGATATCTTTCATTTATAGTAGGGGGTTACACATAACAGTAGGTACAATTTTTGTCTACAATTGTGTTTTTCAAGGCAATAGTGTCACCTTAAGTAACCTTTATAAAATTCTGCGAAGTAGCTATTTGACGTAATATGCAGACGGGGAAACTAAAGTATATAGAACCATGACGCTGACATGTGTAGGTTTATTATTAATCAAGACCCCCATTCTGCAGATTTACACAACCTTTACTTTTACAAGTTCCAGATAGTGAAATTAAACACTTAGTTGTTTGCTACAATGCGGGGAGGGCTTAAGTCATCTGCAGAACCAAGAACAGAACCCATAAGCCCTGTAACTACTCAACACATCACATACCTTCTTCTCCAACCCCAGCCAAGATAGAATCCACTCAATCCCACTCGTGACCAACTCCCACTACCTCGTTCTATAACCAGAGGGCGAGGGTGTCCTCCCTTTGACCCAGATCTTGACCCTCCTCCGCGCCGTAGAGACCTATAGGCAGCCAGAAACCGCTATAGGCCACAGACTACATCTCCCAGCGTGCCCCGGAGTGGACGGGGTGACGTCAGACGCTGGGCTCGCTTTAGCGCCGGGTTCCCGGATATTGCTCCCTTTCCCTTCTAGGAAGGTAAGAATGGCGGAGTGGCGGCGCTTATTGCGGGGGAGTAGTAGCTACTATCCGCCACCATCTGCCGTGAGGCGGCCCCGAAGGGCCCGCGGGTCCGGCTCGGTGGCTCCGGGGGCCCCGGATACATGCGGGGGGGCACGTATGTGCGGAGTTCGCGGGCCCCGGTAACTCCGGGGAGTGTAGGCCGCGGATGGCCCGCTATGGGGACTGTGTGGCTGGGGATCCGGCAGCCACCGTAATGGATTGAATAACTCCTCGGGTGGGGGGTGAGCCTAGGAGCCCCCTTCCCTGGGCGGTGACCGGACTCAGCCGGAGCAGAGGTTGGGAGCCTGTAAAGTGCAGCCCCCGCCCGGCTTGAAGCCCTTGGTCCGAAACGTATGAGGACGCTCCAGCCAGAGGCAGATCGTATCGTATGGGTGGTGGGCACACACAGGACGGGGATTCTTCCTTCGCCTCCAGTCTCTGCTCCCTGCGGTAAATCATATCTGAGCCTGGCCACCTTGGGGACTCTGTCTAGGGCATGTAAAAGCCCCAAGTCACCATGTGGCTATGGCCTTGGGCATGAGAAGTTGGTTATTGCCCCTCTCTCCACTTCCCTCTACGGGCTGTCATGCAGTTGCAGCCCCAACATGTATTTGCATTTTTCTCTTCCCTGGATCTCTGCTTTAGTACTTTTGGACATGGTCAGGTATCTGAATTGTATCACCTGTATTTACTATATACGTGGCCTTGTGTTACAAGCGAGATGCAATGGATGTGGTGTCCTGTGCATCTTGATTAGGCTCCGTGTAGTTTAGGTGGCTTTGATGCAAAAGATAGTACAGTAAACATAGCTGAATAGTCTCAAGACCACTATAGGAATACCATGGATATTTTAAGTATAATTTGCTTTTGTTTTTTGCAGCAATTACATTTTTTTCTGTACGGTTTCTTTGTTTAATGTGACAATCACTAATACTTTATTTTGATATTTGGTAGATGGCAGGCGAGAAGAAGGCAGGTGAGAAGAAGGCAAAGAAGCCCAAAAAGCACCATGCAAGCCGTAACCCAGTGCTGGCCCGAGGAATTGGGAAATATTCCCGATCAGCGATGTATGCCAGAAAAGCCATCTACAAGCGCAAGTATGATGCGCCAGAAACAAAGGTATAAAGGGAATGAATTTCGATGTTTAACTAATTAGGTTGTGTCTCAAACTGTCATAAGTTAACTTGTCTGAAATTTTTTTTTGGTTTGTCAATAGATAGAAAAGAAAAAGAGAGAGAAAGCACCTGCTACCCTCACAAAACCAGTTGGGGGAGATAAGAATGGAGGCAACCGTGTGGTAAAAGTTCGTAAAATGGTAAGAATAGATTAGTGGAAAAAAACTAACTAAATTGCACACGCAGAATTTTGCTCCTGCTAAACACTGAGTTACGGAGTTGCATTGATGTAGATGACAAGAGAATATGCTCCCTATTCTGTATTGAAAAACTTCCTTAGATAGTGCTGCTATTGATGTACTTCTGGGCTATGAGACAGTATAATCTCCACTATAGGTTGTCTGTATAGCACTGTAAAACTGTTATGTAGGTACTTGCATTTAAGCTAGTTAATATATTGGGGGGGGGTAAAAAATGGGGTGGGGAGTAAGAGTCTTGCTTTTAAAAAGATACGCACATCACATCTTTATATTTATTGTGGCTTTTGTGTTGCAATATTCTAGAACGGGTGTTCCATAACTGGTGCATGCATCACTGATGCTATGGGAGCTTGATGTTCCATACATTTACTTCACAATTTCTTTTTTATTAAAGAAGGTGGCACACTTAACAATAAAGCTGGAGAGCAGCTGTTCCAGGCAAACTAGGAACCTTTTCGTTCACACCCACAGTGTTCACATGGGGGAGCTACAGCACTGCTATTCACACCTCTGTTAGGCTGTGTAGACGTGGCCTGAATCAGAGAATTGTACAGTTGGCTTCTGGGTGTATATTACTGGGCTAATTGCCTGTTGACATGTAAGGGAGACTACTGCATGCAGCATTAAGGAGTTTCCCATGGGAAGACCCTGACAACCTCCATGATGGACTAGGCCCATTGTTTGAATGGGCCTAGGCCTATGAATGAGCAGCACAGTAGGGCTCCTCTGGCATCTCTCTAGTGAACTGTAAATACAATCACAAATAACATACATTTACTATATTATTTTTTTCTATGTTGTGTAACTGATTAGCTATCTGATGCAAAATGCAACCTCGTGTACCTAACATGTATCACTCAAAGTGCCAGTTTCTGTAAAATGCTAGCCTGCAGCAAAGTGAATCCTGTGCACAACAGAGAAACAAACAAAAAAATCTAAAGTGGGATAGGGTGGAAATGGCCTTCCCATGAGAGAAGTTGTGTTGCATCCACTAAAAGGGGAAGGATCAAAACTCAGATTAAACTGTTTTCGCTAAGTTCGCTGATGGAATAGTAAAAGTGCAGTTTTGGCTAATAATTTGCTGCTTTTTCTCTAGCCTAGATATTATCCAACTGAAGATGTTCCTCGCAAGCTCTTGAGTCATGGCAAAAAGCCCTTCTGCCAACACAAGAGGAAACTGCGGGCTTCTATTACTCCAGGAACTGTTCTGATCATTCTCACTGGTCGCCACAGAGGCAAGGTAAAGGAGAATTGTCTTTCATATATCCTTCCATGCCACATCTGCTCTTCAAAATACTGGTTTGGCTGGTCTGTTAGAAGTTTCTGTATGCTCTGCAGAGCCTCTGATGCGATAGCCCCCTATTATAAATGCAGCATATACCAACAGAAGGAGTTTTTCGGTCAGTGCTAGGGGTGGGGGTTTGCCCCACACCCCTGACTGACAATTTATATATTGACGTACCTAGAAGTGTAGACCATGCCTTGCTTATACCTCTGTGATAAGTAAAGAATTGGAGGGACTTGCAGTTGATTGCCAGACTTTACCCAATATAAACCAATGTAACTTACGAAAGGGGCTACTTAGGAATGAAATTGTTGGGTCCCAAGCCAGTTCCTGTTCCAGTTTTTTAAACTAGACAATTTAAACATAGTCCAGCTACTTAGGTTTCTAGTTTGGTTTCCCTAACCATTGGGAATGGGTCCTGTCAAATTAGAACAGTCTTTGTTCTAAAGTGTGGTGGATTTGGTACTGCTATGCCTTTTGCCTTTCTGGCTAAAGTGTCTCTCTCCTCCTTTTGTAACTTTTTGTACAAAAATCAGGTACTGATATTTTCTCAGACATCAAACTGCATTTAGCATTGCTGTCTCAGACTAATGTCCTATTGTGTTTGGTTTTCAGCGTGTGGTCTTCCTGAAGCAGCTTGCTAGTGGCCTGTTGCTGGTAACAGGTAAGAAACTTTATTCACTCAAGTCTCTTGAATTCCTCTTGAATTCACTGTAAGTTTGTCCAGGCAGCCTGTCTTTAGACTCTACCATGATTGCCATTGTTGTACTTGTCTGGGAATAGAAATTTTTCTGACAAACCTGAGGTACCCGTGACATGACTGTTCGAAGTTCTGATATCATTCAGTCTTCCAATGCTAGAAACACTGGATATCACTGGAAATCTGAGAAAGGGAGTGAAGTGCCCTTCCTTTAGCAAAAGAGGGTACTTCATTGGCAGTACCAATAACTTGCAGTTAAGCCTGTGGAGCTAACACATTTTTAATGAAGTATCACTGTGCTTTAACATCTGAAAATACTGACAACGCAAGGAAGCTCTTAGCATTATCAGAAGTCTTGAGAAAGGAGTCTCCTAATTTTCTTTCTTAGTTCAGATTTTAGTAGGTGAAGCCAACTGTCCTCTGCAAGAACACAACCACTTCAAACTAAT